CCCTTCCCTATTTACAAAGACTTTGTTTCCATTTTTTCCATTTCTCATAATTTTTCCTTTCCCTTCTTTCCTTTCCCCTACCCCTCCCACTTCCCCTACCCCTACAAGTTTTGCTTTTGAAGTCACTGAGGATAAACTGTAAGGCCGAGAGGCTCTGTCAGGAAAATGACAGGTCATTTACCTCCTGCCTTCCCTCTCCTCCTAGGGACCATGAGAAGTCATCTTTCTGAATTCAAAAAACACCGTGCTGCCAGAATTGACCACTATGTTGTTGAAGTCAATAAATTAATAATCAGGTTAGAGAAGGTAAATTTTGTTGTTCAGAACACTTTTTTTCTTCAAGTACATGTTTTCTGGGGGAAAGTCCCACATTTTGTAGCCTGTATGTTTTGTATATCTGACACTGGCAGGGCTGCCAGGGATGTGGAGGACAGGTGCAGCCTGGGCTGGCTCTCCTGGGGGAGTGACCAAGGTGACACAACTGCGCCCAGCCCCCACTTCTTTCTTCCATGCTGAAGGCCACTGGTTGCTAGAAAACTTTTCCAAATTTTGGGGGTTTCCTGGGCACAGTCACTCCAGGGTGTAGTATGTGGTGTTATTTGATAGGGAATAGAAAAGTGGTGGCCAGGTCTGTGCTGTGTCCTCAGCCAGGGCCAGTGTGCACCGTGGGGACCCTCCACTGGCCCTCTTATCCTGCAGTGAGCACTGTGCCACATTTGTGCTGTACCTTGCCCTGGAAGTTGTTGCTAAGTACAATCTGGATTGTGTGGTGGGCATGGCAGAAACAGTACAGCTCTTCTTGTGAACTTAGGCAGAAACATGTGCAGTCTTGGGGAATGAGCCCAGGCCCTCTGCGCTGAGCTGCTCCTCAGACATTACTTTATCTTTTGAGACAGGGTTTCACTAAGCTGCTAAGCTGCCCAGGCTGGGCTCAAACTTGCAGTCCTCCTGCCTCAGCCTTTCAAAGTGCACTTAGTGTACTACCACACTTACACTTTGTAAGTGTACTGCCATGCCCCGCTCATGGCTGGTTTTGTTGTGTAGGAGGACTGAAAGAAGAGTTCCTCACTGCTTTCATAGCACTACGTCCTTGCCCGCCTGATTGTTACTGACATGAGTAATGAAGAGAAAGAGGCATGGGTTCAGAGGAGGGAGGAGCCTGGAGATGGGAAGCTGCAGGGCTGAGCTGGAGACAGGGCTTGAGAACTTGAGAAGTGCAGAGTGTTGCTTGCGGCATGAACAATGAAGTGTGGGAGGGGTGTCCCTGGCTAACCACCTCGCCCTCTTTTCTCCCACCAGCTCACTGCATTTGACAGAACTAACACTGAGTCTGCAAAGATCCGAGGTAACCAGAGAACTTTGTTCATGTTCTTTCTGTTCCTTCTGTTTCCCTAACCACCAGATCTTTCTTAAATGGTGGGTGTGTATGTGTGTGTATGTGTGTGTGTGATTTTATTTTGTCCTTCCCAAAGCGATTGAAAAGTCTGTGGTGCCTTGGGTCAATGACCAGGACGTCCCTTTCTGTCCTGACTGCGGGAGCAAGTTCAGCATCCGTAACCGCCGCCACCACTGCCGCCTCTGTGGCTCGATCATGTGCAAGAAGTGCATGGAGCTCATCAGCCTGCTCTTGGCAAGTAGGTGACAGGGACCGCATCTGCTGTTGGGACGAGCTCATTTGCCAGTCACCATCAGTACCGCAGGGCCCTGGAGTTGATGCCATGGGGTCCCCAGGAAGCCCACTGTTGGCCTCATGAAGCCCACCTGGCCCAGGCATTCGTGAGACAGGGACAGGCTGCAGGCTCTCTTGGTAAGGACCAGTCAGTAAATACTGCAAGCCTGCTGGAGGGTCTCTGTGCCATTGCTGCTGCCGCTGCTGCTGCTGCTGCTGCTTGTTTTTTGTTTTTTTGGTACCGGGAATCGAACTTGGGACCTTGAGCTTACAAGACAGGTGGCGGAACCATTGAGCTAAATCCCCAGCCCCCGTTTTTTGTGTTTTTGTTTTTGGTATTGGGGATCGAACTTGGGTCCTTCCGCTTGTGAGGCAGGTGGCAGCACCACTCAGCTAAATCCCCAGCCCATGGTGCTTATTTTTTAACAACCTCCTAAAAATGACAAAACTACACGTAGCTCAAGGCCTGTACAGAGCAGCCTACAGATGGATCTGTATCTCAGGCTGTTGTTTTCCCACCTTTGTAAGGCATTGCCCACTGCTCCAAGGAGTGCAGGGCCTGCGGGGACTGTGGACTCCCAAATAAATAGCTGCTTGGTCAGGGCATGAGTCCAGACCCAGGAGGGGCCGAGCAGCTGTCAGCTCTGCCTGGAAGTGGCAGGGGAGCTTTGGGAAGAGCACCTTAAAGTCCCTTCCTCTGGGCTGAAAGTCACCAGCAGCCCTCAGTGTCCTCACGCAGGAGACGCTGAGGGCACTGGAGGCTACCAAGCTGGAGGTAACCTTTTAAGAGCCCTGGACTCTGCATCTCCCAGGGCAAGGGTGTGGGCCACAGGGAGCGCAGCTGCAGGCAGCCTTTGGACTGATTGGCATGATGACCTGCATTCATGCTGGTCAGAGGCTGCTTGCACCTCCCAGCTTCCGGAACATGTGGGTAGCCCTGGACTTCGGGGCAGCATGGGGCCTGAGGCAGGCCATCCTCAGTGGTGTTGACCCCCACTGCTTTACCTCGTTCCTTTCTGGCTCACATGGGACTATGTAAGCCACGTTTTCAGGACATGGGCTGTTGGCTGACATTTCCCTGGGCAGCTGCCTGCAGTGGCCCTGCTAATTGTGTTCAGGGTGCAGGTGAAAGTTTCCATCCTAAAGAGCTGCAGGTATCTGGGATTGCTCCTGTCACACTGGGAGAGAAGGGGCCTGAGAGAGGACAGTTTGCCCAGAGGATGTGGACTGTGAGCTGCACTGTGGGAGGCAGGAGCCAGGTGGCCGGGCCAGGGAAGGCAGTGGACGACTAGAGGGCCAGCCTGGGGGTGCCCTCAGGATCTCAATACTTGAGGAAGCCCAGGAGGGTGGAGCCTGGTCTCAGTACTCCCCCCACCCCGCCCCGCCCAGTCACACCCCAGGACTCAGCATGCGGCCAGGGCAGAGGAGAGCTGGGTGCCCTCTGTGTTTGCAGACAAGCTCACCAGCGCCAGCAGGGATGCCCTGAGCACCCACACCAGCCCCAACCAGTCTCCTGGCAGTGTGCATGGCTCACGCCGTGGCAGCATCGGCAGTGTGAGCAGCATGAGCTCTGTGCTGGATGAGAAGGAGAATGAGCGCATCCGCTGCTGCAGGCACTGCAAGGACACGCTGTTACGCAGGGAGCAGCAGATGGACGAGCGGGAGCACACACCTGCCATCACCAGGCTCTACGAGGTGATTGCGTCAGCCCCTCAGGGGAGTGCTGGGGTTCCCTTGAGTTGCATGCATTCCTTTTGGGCCCTGGGGAGTTGCAGAGCCACCCTGGGGTGTGGTACAAGCCCCATCCTGCCTCTCCTCACCCCCTGGAGAGTAGCAGGGAAGAGGAGGAAGGGCTGTATGGACCAGGCAGGAGCTAGAGGGTTGGGGATACTGGGCTGGAGAGTCCTGGGAGACTTACCCAGTGGAGAGAGCCCTGTGAGGTGTTGCACATTCCCTGCCTTGGGCCGGGAGTGCTCGCTTCTCAGCCAGTCCATACGCCTCTGTCTGAACCTTGTAGCAGACACATGCTTTGAGAGATGGTACCTCAGGAAAGTTAGGGGTGATGAGACAGCTTGGGCCCTTGTGGCCAGGGCAGACCTGCAGGCTGGGGACCAGCCACAGGGATGCATCAGGTAGATGGGACACCAGAGCCAGAGATGGTCAGGCAGAGGAGCAGTGTGCTTGGGTCACCACAGCCGTTTCTAGAACTACATGGAGCATGCACTCAGCTCCTGGTGTGGTGGTAATCAGACCCAAGACTGAGGCTAGCTGTCCTCCACCCTCTGTGTAGTCTGTGATGGCTCCCCTGTTCCGAGGAGGGTGATGATGCCTTGTGCCCTGTCATGCGGTTGCCTGGCATCACGGTGCCCTCCTGTCTCGGCAGACTCACTGTTGGGCCCTGGTGGGCCTGCTGCTCACAGGAAGTCTGCTCTGGCTCCACCCTCAGTCTCTTTCCCTCCTGCAAGACTTTTTGCATGGAAAGTAGGTCTTAAGTTAGGAAATTGATAACCATAAGGAAAAGACCCCAGTTTTGAAAAAGGAGCCCTTTCCTCATGTCTCCTGGGAGCAGCACTCACCTTTGCTCTGTTCTCAGAAATTGCGGCTCTGCATGGCGAAGGTGGACCAGAAAGCCCCTGAGTACACGCGGATGGCAGCGTCCTTAAAGTAAGCATTCCTGTGGTGTCCTGAGGAGGGCACCCCGGCATTCGGGCAACTCTTGAGTAGTGCAGATGGAAGCCTTGCTTTGCGCCTCTTTTTTCTTTTCTTTTTCCTTTCCTTTCCCTTCCTCTCTCTCCCTTTCTTTCTCTTTCTCCTTTCTTCTCTTCCTCCCTTCCTCTCCCTTCCTGCCCCCACTGTGAAATCCTCCCTTTTGCAGTGTAGAGTGCAGTGATTTTTACTATAGACACAGTGTTGTGCAGCGACCACCACTGTCTTAATTCCATGCCCTCTCCTTGCTGTGGTAGAAACCTCATACCACGGGCAGTCATGCTGCTCCCTGGCACCCCCTAATGTGCTTCTTGTTTCAGTGGAACGGTGATTTTGACATCTTGTATAAATGGCATCATGAATGTGACCTTTTGCGTCTGACTTGTCACACAGTGCAGTGCTCTCTGGGTTCGTCCCTGTAGTAGCTCGTGCATCTGTATGTTACCTTTAACTACTACATGGCGTGCATTTAATATTCATGTACAGGTTGTTCATGAATATTTTCATTTCTCTTGGGGTGCATAGCTGTGAGTGCTGGGTTTTGTGGTAACTCTTTACTTTGAGAAGTTGCCAGATCCTTTCAGAATGACTGTACCACTCTGAATTCCACAGCAGAGTGAGGGCTGCAGGTTTTCCACCCATTTCACTGTACAGTTTTATTGGAAGCTGCCTTGCCCCTTGGGTGTCTGCTGCCGGCTGCAGCTTTGGGGCTGCAGCAGTAGAGATGAAGGTCGTGATAGCCAGCCCTTCGCTTGCTGAGCTGTGTGAGTGCACGGCTTCTGCAGGCCGAGTGTGAGCTGGAGCCGGGGCTGATGCCAGATCAGACCCAGTCTTGCCCAGCCTACAAGAAGCAGCATCGGCAGCCATGGTTCTGTTTGGGGTTCTGTCTTTGTCTTTTCTCTGTGCTGCCTGCCTGCCACATGGAGGGGGCCTGCAGGGCATGGGCCATGTTAGAACAGAGCAAGATTTTTTTGTTGTTTTTTTTTTGTACCGGGGATTGAACTCAGGACCTTGCGCTTGCGAGGCAGGCACCAGAACCACTGAGCTAAATCCCCATCCCAAGAGCAAGGTTTTGCTCCATCATTTGCTACAGCAGAGTTTTTTAGGGATCCAGAAGCACAGAGGGTATGAGCTTAACTTTTATTCACAACTTATATGTCTATCATGTGGCTCTCACTTGTGAAAAAAATGAACTTGAAGCTGGGCGTGGTGGTGCAGGCTTGTAGTTCCAGCTATTCAGGAGGCTGAGTCAGGAGCATTACTTGAACCAGCCTTGGCAACGTAGTGAGACCCTGTCTCAAAAAAAGAAAAAGAAAATGAACTTTTTTATTAGCGCGGTCCTCTGAGTGTTTCCTGTCTTCTGGGTCAGTAAATGTCTGCCACATGGAATGTGAGTGGCTAAGCTCAGGTGGTTTTTTCAAAAAGCACCCCTTCCCTTGTGTTCTGTGGGACTCTGGGGCTCTTCCATTTGTGTTGGGCCAGGCCCCATCCCTACCTGCGTGCAGGAGAGGATGCTCCTGCTTTGGGAACTGGGCTTTGTGTTCTAGGTCAAGCTTGCTATTTTCCAGACTTGGAAGTAGCAAGAAAAAGCCTTTATCCCAGCTGAGGCGGGAAAATCATTGAGTCTAAGGTTCAAAGCCAGCTTGGGCAGCATGGTGTGCCCCCATCTCAAAAAAACAAGCCCATTTTCCTGCTTCTGACCTGATGTTCTTTGTACTACTGTGTGGTGAGAGATGAAGAACCCACTGTGTTGGCTCCTTGGATTCTGGGTCACACCAGTGTTTCTTCAGCTGGAGCTGTTTACAGATGGCAGCTGCCATTGCCCAGAGGCCTAGGAGCTGGTCCCTGAGCTGCACTCAGTGTCAGCAGCTGGGGAGGAGGTGACAGGCCTGAAGGAACAGTGGCAGCATTACCCATGATTGCTACTGCCATTCTGAGGCCCTCTTTTCCTCACATGGGGCACAGTCTTCAGGAGCCCTTTGAGCTGGGGCCAAGGCTCACGCCTGCAGTGGGAAGGGGGTCCTTGGTCATCCTCCTCATGCAGTACTTGAATGTAAAAAGCCAGGAGGCTTTGCGCCCCTAATGCCGTGTGAAACACCCATTCAATGACTTGCTACACTTGCTGCACCTCAACAGACACTGTGAGGTCACTTAGGGACGGGATCCAGTAGAGCTGGTGCATCTGTAGCTGTGGCTGGAGCTGGCCCTTAGGCCTGGCCTGAGCTGGCCCTGTGGTCTGCACTTGGAGATGGCTTCAGATGTTTGCCTTCTGGGGAGTGAGCGCTGCATCACAAGGGGTGTGATCAAAGGTTACGGTGAATGTTTAAGAAAAAAAATTATTGCAGTAAAAGACATTGCCATGAATCCCCCTAGAAGCCCTCTGTACCCCTGTACCCCTTGCTTTAAGCACATTCGTCCCATCATTCTTGCCACTTTCTGAAGCAGCTCTGGAGTCCTCTTTCCTGAGTCTCTTTATGAGCTATAATCAAAACTACATGTGAGGGCCGGGGATGTAGCTCAGTGGTGCCACCGCCTGCCTGGCAAGCACAGGGTCCCGAGTTTGATCCCCAGTATCAAAAACACCCAACTGTGTGAATGCTGCTGCCAAGTGCCATCCAACAGAAAGGCAGGCTTGTAAAAACATGATATTGTGCCCTCATCCACCTTATTCGCCAGATCTTGTATGATTTCTGGCTCTTCCCCAAGGTCAAAATGATCTTGAAAGAGAAACATTTTGAATGGATTTTAGACACTGAGGCAGCCAGGACAACACAGCTAAAGACACTCATGAAAGGGGACTCCAGAGCTGCTTCCAAAAGTGGCCAAGAATGATGGGATAAGTGTATTGGAATTTGTGGGGATTTGAGGGGATTCGTAGCAATATGTCTTATGGTTTGTAGCTAGATGTCCCCCCAAAGTCTCATGCTCTTACAGATGTAGCTTTGGGAGGTGATTGGATCATGGGGGTGCGATACTTATCAGTAGATTGGTTCACTGTGAGTTCATGGCTGAACGTGTTGTTGGGAGGTGAAGCCTGATGGGAGGAGGTGGGTCACTGGGGGCATGGCCTGGCAGCATCTGTCTCCCTCCTTCTCCTGATCATTCTCTGCTTCCTGCTGCCCTGCTATGAGCTGTTTCGCCTCTGCCATGTTGCCCTGCCCTGGAGCCAGCTGACTATGGACTGAAACCTTTACAAACTGTGAGCCAAAACAGAACTCTCCTCCTTATAGTTGTGTATTGTGTCTCAGCGACAAGAAAGTAATGAAGACAGTGTCTTTTACTGTAATACATTTTTAAAAAAATGTTAACATGGTCTGTATTTTTCGATACAGATCTGAAACGCCTCTTTCCAAGCACTAACCATCTCGGTGCATCCTTATACCTTGAGGGTCCTTTGATGCCACCCAGTCAGCTTGACCTGATGTGGTCCTGTCCTGTGCTTTCTCCCCAGTGCCGGGGAGACCACCTACAGCCTGGAGCAGGCCAGCGACCTCCGCCTGGAGGTGCAGAAAATGTACGAGCTCATAGACGCCCTGAGGTGAGGCTGTCGGGATGGCGCCAGGGACAAGCTCGGCCAGGTGTGACCCTGTGACTCTGTGGTGGTGACCCTAAGGTTACTGAGGACAGGGAAGCCCCCATGCTGCAGGCAAGGAAACCAGCACAGCCACAGGGTGCATGCGCCTCAGGTCACAACTGGTTTCAAACCATAGCCTGGTAGTTGGGACTTAGGGACAGTTGTGATGAGGACCATTATCTGTCCAGATACCCAGGACCTGCTGTGTAATTTGCAAGGCCTGGTGCAAACTGAAAATGCTATTGCCTGTTTCAACAGTATCAACAATGTTATGAAGGTGACAGAAGGATATTAAACTAAGCATGAATCCCTTGAAGTGCGGGACCCTGTGCAGTTGCACAGGTTCCTCACTGGTGAAGCCAGGTCTGCCCATATATGACTGCCATATAGTCAGTCCGTGAATGACCGAGCATGTTGCATACCCTGTGGTGTGGATCTGCTCAAAGGGTAAGAGCTAGCCTCTGCCCTCCAGGAGATGCAGTGGAGTGACCCATCTCCACCTGTCTTGGCACAAAGGCCTGTAGCTCCAGAGACCTCTCATCTTGTTTCTGTTGTGTTTGTTCTGGTCCAGTAAGAAGATCTTAACCTTGGGCTTGAACCAGGACCCCCCACCACATCCCACCACACTGCGGCTGCAGAGGATGATCCGGTACTCAGCCACGCTCTTCGTGCAGGTGAGGCTGCGGGTGGCAGGAGCACGCCTGGGCACCCTGGTTCTCCTCTCAGGCAGGCCCACGCCATGGCTTATTTTCCCCTTATACACTAGTTATTATCCAAGAGCAGCAGTGTGTCATAACTGCCATGTTTTTTCTTTTTCTTTTTTTTTTTTCATTAAGTTTATTGGTACATTTTAGGTATACAATACAGTTACATTCATCAATGGGGACTTGTACCTTTATCTGATATATCTTGGTTCTTATTTTTTCCCCATTCCCCTGCCCTTCCTTCAACCCTTCCACCCCTCCCTATTTACAAAGACTTTGTTTCCATTTTTTCCTTTACTCATATTTTTTCCTTCCCTTCTTTCCTTTCCCCTTCCCCTCCCACTTTCCCTACCCCTTTAGACTTTTCCTTCCTATTTCACATTAATTACACATTTTGATCCTTATTTACACCTTTAGTTTCTCACACCAGGGAAACTATTCAGTATTTACATGTGTGTCCTATTTATTTCACTTAAGAGTATGGCCTCAATGTGCATCCATTTAGCTATAAATGTCTCTAGTTTCTTATTCTTTATGGCTGAGTAGTACTCCATTTTATAAAAAAACCACATCTTCTTTATCCAGTCTCCAGTTGATGGGCAAATGGGCTGTTTCCAAGCTTTAGGTATTACAAACTGTGCTGCTATAAACATGGATGCACATACATCACTGTGGTATGATTCTTTTAATTCTTTTGGGAAGATACCCAGCAGAGGAATAGCTGGGTCAAATGGGACCTCTAATCCTAGTTTTTTTTGGCACTGGGGATTGAACTTAGGACCTTGTGCTTGCCAGGCAGGCAGCAGCACCACTGAGCTAAATCCCTGGCCTAATTCTAGTTTTTTGAAGTATCTCCATATTGATTTCCACAGTGGTTGCACTAGTCTACACTCCCATCAACAATGGCAAAGGGTTCCTTTCTCCCCACAATCTCGCCAGCATTTGTTATTGGTTGATTTCTTTCTTTCTTTCTTTCTTTTTTATTTGTACCGGGGATCGAACTTGGGACCTTGTGGTTGTGAGGCAGGCAGCAGAACCATTGAGCTAAATCCCCGGCCTGGTTGATTTTTTGATAGCAGCCATTCTTTCTGGGGTGAAGTGTGACCTCAGTGTTGTTTTCATCTGCATCTCTCGAATGATCAGTGATGTTGAACAGTTTTTCATACGTTTATTTGCCGCTTTTTTTCTTTGTCTGAGAAATGTCTGTCTATCTCAGAGGCCCATTTTTAAATTGGATCTTTATATTTGGGGGATCTGATTTTTTAAAGTTCTTTATATATTCTAGATACTAGTGCCTTTGTCTGAGGAATAGCTGCTAAAATTTTTTTCCCACATTATAGGTTGTCTCTTAGCTCTGTTGGTGGTTTCTCTTGCAATGCAAAAGCTTTTTAATAAGATGAGATCTCAGTTGTTGATTCTTTGTGCTAGTTCCTGTGCTACTGAGGATTTGTTCGTAAAGTCCTTTCCTGTGCCAATGTCTTCAAGAGTTCTACCTAATTTATCTTCCAGCAAGTTTAGTGTTTCTGTTTTAATATTCAGATCTTTAATCCATTTCAATTTTAGTTTAGTGCATGGTGAGAGAAAGGGGTCTAGTTTTAATATTTGGCAGGTTGAAATCCATAACTGCCATGTTTTGAAAGAGAAAAATGTGGGTTTCTGAGAAAGGAGGACTTTCAGTCTTGTGTCCATCCATGGCTCACTCATCATTCTGGTGTTTTGCTGTTTGCATTTCATATGGAGTAGTTAGGGCTTGTGCCCTTTGCCAGTCTGTGTCCTTTTGCCCCTAAGCTCTGTGTTATTAGTGCCTGCACTGCTGCCACATGACGGGCTGTCCCCCTGACCATGGCCCTCAGTTGGGTGCATGGTGGCCTGGGGCTCTGTGGCTGGGGTGTGGGGTGTGTAGACAGGGGGTATGGAGCCTCTTCCCGGGCCTGTGGCTGATAGTCAAGGAACCTGGAGCCTGGGGTTGGACCCAGAGTCATCTTCCTGCCCTGAACTCTTCTGAGTGCCATGGCAACCACCCTTGGCCTCCCTTCTGAGGTCCAGTGGGGATATGGGGGTGTGTCTCCACACATGGTGCTGAGAACTGGGCCTTTGTCCCATTTGCTGAGGGCCCACTGGGCACTAAGCTGGGTTCTGGATCCCGGGCTCACACTGTATCTGTTCTCAGGAACCTGGATTCTAAAGTGAGGACAGGCAATGCACAGCTGAGGAGCTAGCTTGTGAGTGCACAGGCCTCCAGAGACCGGCAGGCAGGCACGGCAGAGTGGAAGGTGTAGGATGTCCATCAGCTGCAGCCCTCTGCACAGCAAAGGCCAGCCCTGCCACTCCCTGGGGTGGGGTGGCTCAGCTTAAGCATGTGGGGCTTAAGGTCCATTTTTCCCCAGAGTGTAAGCGTGATCCTGCTGTGACCCTTACAGGAAAAGTTGCTGGGTTTGATGTCACTGCCAACCAAGGAACAGTTTGAAGAACTGAAAAAGAAAAGGAAGCAGGACATGGAGAGGAAGAGGATGCTGGAGAGACAGGTGTGTAGGGCCTGGCATGCGGCAGCCACTGCATCCTCATGGCCCACTGGCTCTCAGATGTCATGCCTGCTTGTCACCCGAGCTCTGCTCATACATGCATGTGGTCTCTGTCTCTGCCTCTCTGTCCCTCGCATTTGCTTTTATGTTGGAGCTCATGTGTGTGGTGTCTCTCCCTCTCTTTCACATGTTTGCTTTCATCTTCTGTTCTTTCGCAGTGCATACCCACCTGTGGAAACCACAGTAATTCTCTTCCACGTCCTTGTTTTGTCCCTGAGGTCTCACTGCTTCTTATGCCAAGAACACCAGAGATTGACAGTGTTCCCTCTGGAAGGGGCTTGCTGAGGGTCCACACTGGAAATTACACTGTTAAACAGGAAATAGCCAGGCCTGCTGGCTCAAGCCTGTAATCCGAGCTTTTTTTTTTAATCCAAGCTTTTTTGGGAGACTGAGGCAGGAGAGTCACAAGTTCAAGCCCAGCCTAGGGAACTTAGTGACTCTGTCTCAAAATAAAAAGGGGCTGGAGATGTAGCTGTGCAAAGGCCCTGGGTTCAATCCCCAGTACCACAAAAACAAAACCACAGAAAATAGCCGGGAATGGTGTCTATATTCCTAGATTATATTCCCACATCTATACTCCTAGCTACTTGAGAGGCTGAGGCAGGAGGATCAAGAGTTTGAGGCAGCTGGGCAATTTCATGAGACCTTGTCTCTATAAGGGAAAAAATGAGAGCTGTTGGTGTAGTTAAGTAGTAGAGTACTTGAGGCCCCGGTTCAATCTCTGGCATCCCCAAAATAAAACAAGCAACTTCCCAGCACACAGTTTGTCTGTTCAACTTGGGTGGGTGCTAACACTGTCGACTGGTAAGAGACACGGAGGTTTACACCAGGTGCAGCCCATAATTGGGGCAGCTGCTCCTTAACCTGTCACTCATGGTCAGTTTTGAAAATCACCACCTGCCCGCCCTCTCTCAGCAGACCGGCGTCTTAGTCCAAAGGAGGGAAGGTGGAGGTCAGTGGGGCTGCAGGGGGTGCTGTCCAACTGGGGACCCTGTGACCCTTGCTCTGATGTCTCCCCAGGCTGCCCCGGAGTCACAATGTAGGCTCGAGGACAAGCAGCGTGGCCCAGCGGCCAACGGGGAAGTGGCCCCCACAAGAAAGGCCGAGGGCTGGCTCCCACTGCCTGAGACACAGGGCCAGCGCGAGGACCCCGACCCACTGCTCCAGCAGATCCACAACATTGAGTCGTTTATCAAGCAGGCCCAGGCTGCCAGCCGCACTGATGAGGTGCGCACCCTAGGGGAGAACCTGCGGCAGCTGCAGGACGAGTACGACCGGCAGCAGACAGCCAAGGCCATTGAGCTGTCTCGCAGGCAGGCTGAGGAGGAGGCCCTGCAGTGTGAGCAGTTGCAGAGGCTTCGGGAGCGGGAGTGGGAGCGGGAGCGAGAGCGGGAGCGGAAGCAGGCGGCCTCCCTACACTCGAGGACCCAGGCCCTGGACTCCCGGGAGGCTGCACCCTTCCTGCTGGAGCCCAGCCGGGGACCTCGCCCACACCCTGCCTTCGCTCTGGAGCTGGGCTCTTCCTCAGGCTCTGGGATGGCCCCTGAGACGCCCTCACCCTGTGCAGTGTGGGCCCTGAGCCAGGAGAGCCTCCACCAGAGCACTGAGCCCCAGCAGAACGACTGTGCCCTGAACTCCTTTAGCAGGGACTTCTTCTCCAGCCCTGCTGTTGTGCAGGCCAAGCTCCCCAGAGAGTACAACCCTTTCGAGGAGGAGGAAGAGGAGGAAGAGGAGGCAGTGGCTGCAGGGAACCCCTTCACCAGCCCTGACAGCCCAGCACCCAACCCCTTCGACAGCCCAGCGCCCAACCCCTTTGAGGATGGCAACGATGTACCCAACCGGAGTCCTGCCAGCCCTCCTGTACCCGGCAACCCCTTCGAGGAGCCCACCGGCACCAACCCCTTTGAGGTGGACAGCGACAGCTGCCCGGAGGCCGAGGAGCCCATCGAAGAGGACCTGCTCCTGCAGCAGATAAACAATATCAAGGCCTACATCTTTGACGCCAAGCAGTACGGCCGGCTGGATGAGGTGGAGGTGCTGACTGAGAACCTGCGGGAGCTGAGGTGCACATTGGCCAAGCAGAAGGGCCCCCCTGAGTGACGGCAGGGAGCAGGGCCTGCAACCTGGATGCTGCTGTCCACACCAGATGTGTCTCCATGACAGTGACTAACACAGGAACCCCTAGGGCACCAGCCTTCACTCGGCGGCATTTCCTGCCTGCCTTGTTTTTCACTTGGGGGATTTTCCTCTTTCAAGGACTTTGCATTTTACTACAAAGCTGTAACTTGGTTCAGCTCTGTGGCCCGGGGTGTGTCTGTCTTTCTTTCAGAGGAGCCTGTTGCTTTCCACACTGGAAGAAGCCAACCACAGCTTGCCACCATCAGTGCTTTGCACAGGAGAATGAGCCTCTCTATCAGCGGGGTTTCAGTGGAGATGAACTTTCCCCTGCCACTCCCTGAAACCAGTGCCAGGTAGCAATATGCAAGGAACTGAGCATCAGAGATGCACACGGAACATTTTTTAAAACTCTTAAAACGAACTTGAACATACTAAACCAGACCCTTCAGGTTTCGTGGAATTGTCCTGTGGCTGTCCTCTTCCAGTCTCTGTCTCTGTCCCTGGAGTTCGTGTAGGACAGGCGATAGCAGAGAAGAGACAGCTGTGTGGTCCACCTATGGTGGACACCTTGCCCTTCCTCAGCCACAGTCACGGTGTCAGCAGAGCCACCGGTGGCCAAGGTTGTACATGGAGAACACGTCTGTGTGCAGGTTTGTGTCTCTCCATCTAATTCACTAAGGATGCTCACTCCCACTTGCAGCCCAGTGTCTGCTGTTCAGATGCCACGGCATTCTCACTGTCATCAGGAGCCACATGATAGGTCAGGCACTGGGCTCGATCCACTGGTCACCTGACACGTGCTGCTCTGGGCCTTGTGTTGGAACCGTTTTTTAAAAATAAAAAATTGAGCCAGAGATTTAGCTCAGTGGTTTCGCCGCAAGTGCAAGGACCCGAGTTCAATCCCTGGTACCAAAAAACAATAACAACAACAGAAAAAATTAAAAATAGCTGGGAGTGATGGGTACATATATGCATGTGCACCTTGGGTGAGTTACCATGCATCCTCCCCTACTTAGTGACGGCCCAGTGCCTCAAAACAGTCCCAGCTCCTGGGCCACAGGTCTGGGAAGGTCTGCAGATGGAGTCGGTCACTGGGCTTTGCACAGGAGTGACCTCTTCCAGCACTGCCCCAGGTTCCCACCATGTTGGTGAGGGACAATTCACACCCAAGCACAGAGAAAAGCCCTGTCTGGTTCTGTTGTTCTTTTCACACTAGGAGAAACTGAGGCACTGCTGCTGGGGACTGCTGGCACAGGTGAAGGGTCAGGTTAGGAGGTAGCAGGCCTAGGTCACAGCTGCTCAGTCCTCCTGCACTCCGAGGCAGAGGTCTGAGCCTGCTGGGGTACAGGGTGGGTTGGGGGGTGTGGGCTGCACAAGTGGGCAGTGAGAGAGGTGGGCATAGCCGGAACTGGGGCCTCACAGGGCCTGGGTGGGTTCCAGATGAGGAGCGGACAAGCATACTTCATAGGTGACCTCTGCTCCTCTCCAGCAAGGGAACAGGTGCAGGCCAAGTAGTGAGTTCTTTCTACCTGGGGTCTGCTCTCGGGCCCCTGCTGCCCCCACTGGCTGTGTGGGAACCCCAGATTCTAGCAGAGTACAGTGTTTCATCTGTTTTGAACACCCTTACAGACTTCAAGACCAAAAGCTTTGCCGGACATGGTGGTGCATGGCTGTAGTCCCAGCACTCGTGAGCCTGAGGCAAGAGGATCACTCTGAGTTTGAGGGTAGCCTGGACTCAGTGGGTTTAAGAACAGCCTGGAATACATAGCGAGATCCTGTTTCAAAAAATAAAAAAAGACCAAAAACTTTTCTCCTTTTCTTTAGGAAGCCTTTGTTGCCAGCCTGGCTTCAAACTTGAGATTCTCCTGCCTCAGCCCCTCAAGTGGCTGGTGCACAGTGCCCACCCACTAGGACCACAGTCTCTTCTGCCTGCAGATCTCCAGTAGCCTGGCATCATTTTAAGAATACTTTGGAGCTCACTTCCTGGTTTTTTAGGTCAACACCGAGAGTTTGGAAGTTGTCGCTTTTTCCAAGCAAATGTTGGATAAGCTGAGTGTCTGACTTTTCTTAGACTCCCAGAGAGCAATGTGGGCAGGACTATGCCCTCCTGAGGATGGGGAGCTTGGCTACACTGGTGGGGCTGCATGTGGGTAGCAGGGGCATTGGGAGCTGCTGCAGCATCATCTTTGTCCTGCAGCACTCTCCCTAACGGCTGTGCCCAGGGCCTTGTCCTGCCTGGGCTAGGACATCCTTAGCCTGCCTTCCTGGCTTGGGACAGCGGGAGTTAAGAGACACTGTGATGGCCACAACCCAGGAATACAGGCCCAGAAAATGCTGAATGTCATTGTGGGTGATGGGACCTTCCCTCCCTGTGCCGCTGCACTTCCTCACAGGGCTCTGGGACAGTGAGAGCCAGTGGATCACAGCTGGAAACCATATAAGCAGAGGAGGACCCAGGGCAGATGCTAAGCACAGATCAGCTCCTGGCCAGGTTAACAGATCCTCACCTTAGAGGCTCATTTACTTTAGCCCTGTTACCCAACACAGCCAGTGTTGTTCCCACTTTTACAAAAAACTACCAGCATGCCTGTAATCCCAACCCTGGGAGGCCAATACAGGAGGATTGCAAGCTCAAGTCCAGCCTGGGGAATTCAGCCCCTTAGCCTGAGCCTGTTTTAGAATAAAACGGCTGGGGGGTAGCTTAGTCCACAAGTCATGGGTTCAATCCCAGTACAGGGAGGGGAGTGCTGTAGGGGGTTACAAGCATCCCGGAATGGCAAATACTGAAAAAGAAAACCAATGAAGAGACAAACAGCAGTACATGTACCAGCTCCCCATGAGGAAGGCAATCATGACTACAAACCATTCTAATAAAAATAAAATAAACAGCAGAACTATACTGAGATGCTAAATTAGTGGAGAGGAAATTCAGAAGCAACTGTGATCCCAGCCCTCAGGAGGCTGAGGCAGGATGATCTCTGAGCTCAATGCCAGCTTGGGCTATAGAGTGTTTGAGGTCAACCTAGACTACATAGCAGGGACCCTGTCCTTGAGAAGGAGTGAGGGTTCCTGCTCTTGACTTTCAGGCCTGGAGGACGGGACAAGGGGTCTACTTAGGTAGCTGGGAAACAGCCCCATAGAGACCGCAAAAACCCGAGGTTACTGCCTCACAAAGTTGAAGGATGAAATTGTGGACCAAAAAGGAAGTTAGAGTGTTTATTGGCAATAAGAAAAATAACTCCTGTGGTGTATCCAGCAGGGGGTCCCAGAAAGTGGGGTCCTATGTGGCCCCTTGGTCCAGAACTTCTTATGGACAAGTAGAACATGGGAATTGCTCAGTTGCTTAGTGACCACCTATCAAGGCAGCTCTGTGGGTTTAACATGACCAGTTAGAGCTGAGGCCTTAATCAGCATGCAGAGTTTAAAGGAAACATTGCAAAGAATGGCAGCTGGTTATTCTGCATTTCTAAGTTCCCCAAAACTCAAGAAAGGACTAGGGAAGGGCTGCAGGCCATGTCACCCAAAGCCCTCCCTGGTTAGAGTCCGGGTCCTAGCTCATGGCCTGCCCAAGCCCCCCGCCCCTGCCCCTGCCCCCCACCGCCACTTCTTCAGCTTCCTGTTCCTAAGCTAATTAAGTTCTCCACACCTGGGTCGGGGGGTATAGGGTCGTCGAGAAGCAGACTGTAAATAGGAAGAAATAAGTGTAGGAGAAGGTGCGATAATATGGTCTTAAGAACAATTTTTGGGGGTGTGTGTGTGATAATATGGTCTTAAGAAGAACAATTTTGGTGGGGGGGGGGTTACTGGGGACTGAACTCGGGACCTTGCGCTTGCAAGGCAGGCGGCCGAACCACTGAGCTAAATCCCCAGCCCTAAGAAGAACAATTTTAATGGTGGTGAACCTTTTTTTTTTTTTTAACCACGTTGATCTAAAGAGCTGAGTCCATCCAAAGTAAAAGATAAAACATGCAGGGACGAGTAACTGAAGCCTCCTCTGTCGGAGCTGCTCAGGCCCCTAAGCACCTGGGCAAGGGTATCAAGAAGGATAGAGACAATAATTGAGAATGCAAGGGGGCCAGAGGGTCAGAGCTCTTAGCAGGCCAAGACCATGACTCCGAACACGACACTTTTTATTGAGCGCACTGCTTTCGAGGGTGGGTGTAGGGAGATGCAAGGAACAGGGGAGTGGATGGCACCGACTCAAGCAAGGACTAGTAAGAAACAAAGTGTTCTTCTGTGAATATGCCATTGATTAATGGGAAACTCTACAGAATTTTGTGCGAGAGTCAGAGTCTTGCCTTCTGAGGTGTCAGTGTCATGGGTCATTGAGACCTCCACTGTGGCCAGTGCATAGGGAGTTCTGTTTCCACTTGCCAACTGCTGGCTCATATGGCACGTAGGCCTAGGACAGATCTTTAACACAGCCAGTTTATGGATTTCTAGCTCGCTCAGGGTGGCCTCCGTCACTCCCTTAGGCACCACAAGTGAGCCTGTGTCCCCAGAAGCATTAGGAGCAGAAGGTGACTGTTGGAAAGGTCCTGTGCATGTAGCCCCCTGCTGGAAGGTGGGGCAGGCATAGTATAGTACTCACTTAACTGTGTCTGCACCTTGGCTTGAGTGCCTCCCCCTGGGTTCTGACTGACAGCCCTTGTAGTGGGTATAGTTACCTTAGTTGACAGTGGACAGCTTTTTAAGTTGTGGGCATTGGGTATGGGGTTTTCAAGGGAGAAAGTGACTAAGACAAGTAGGATTAACATGGGGAGCACTTGTGGAGAGACACCTCAGGATTATCGGGTAATAAAGCTCTATAGTGTCAAAGATGATAGTCTTTTAAACCAGTGAAATCCCTTCAGGTCTGACAGGAAGTTGCTTGATGAGCAGTGTGAAGAGGCAGGAGATCCTGAAGTAGCTGTAAAGGATCCTCTGCTAAAAGCAGAAGTGGCCATTGCCCTGACACACCCTGGCCATCCTGGACCACTGTGTCTCGCTGCTATGACTGATGTCCTCCAGGCCTTCGAAGGCTCTGAGGCCTGGGTAAGGACCCTAAAGCCATGCTCGGTGCTCACTTCTGTGTGACTGAAAGGTGTGTCAGGTTGTGGCCGTCCCAAGGCAGAGCTTGAGAGAGGCCTCTGGTTTATCATAAGCCTCTTACTGTCTCTGTTCCCAGAAAGGGCATTTGATCATTATTTCTTTTTTCTTTTTTTTTTTTTTTGGTACCGGGGATTGAACTCAGGACCTTGCGCTTGCAAGGCAGGTGCCAGAACCACTGAGCTAAATCCCTGGCCCTTGATCATTATTTCTTGTAGGGACTCATATGGAGGTTTGGCCAACAGGTCATCTCCAGGGAGCAACAGCTGGCACAGCCAGAGAAGCCTTGGAAAGCTTGGAGTTGCTTTGTGGACCCAGAGGCCGTAGACCTTGGATGGTCTGTGTGTGCTGAGCTTTACATGTTCGATGCCCTGCAGTTAAAACCCTAAATAGTGAGCTTCTGGGGACAGCAGTTGACCCTTAGGCTTTGAGACTTGATTTCCCCTGTCAGCCATTAAAATTTGAACCAAATGGTCTGGAGCCTCTGTCAGAGGACAGCAAAAAGAAGATCATCTATATATTGTAGACCAGCCCGAACTGTTCAGGTTAGAGTGTTTCAGTTCCTAGCCAAAGCTTGTGCGGTTGATAGGGCTGCCCCAGACCCTTGGAAGGACAGTCCAGGCAACAAGGAATTGGAAAGCCTGCTGTGGTAGCGCACGCCTTTGATCCCAGCACTCAGGAAGCTGAGTGAGTTTGAGTCCAGCTTGGGCTATACATAGTGAGTTCAAGAACAGCCTGAACTACACAGCAAGACCCTGCCTCAAAAAAACCAAAACCAAACAAACAAAAGGAATTGGAACTCAGAGGCCACACATCTCTCAGGTCCAAGCCTGTAAACCATCGGGTGTAAAAGGAGTCTGTTGGCCCAGCAGTGTCGAGTCGGGGCCACGAGGTGTTTAGGAATAACTGCCTCATGTACATAGTCATCCCCACTGGGCTCCTGGACAGTTAGAACAGGCATCACAAGGTGACTGACAAGGCACTCAATGCTCCTGGTCTAAGAGCTTGTTTATCAGAGGTTGTAGCCCAGTTTGGGGTTCTAGCAGCCAAAGGAAATACTCTTTCCAGTGTGGGAAGGTGTGAGGATCTTTTAGCCTACTCACTTAGTGGGTGACCACAGCTGGAGTTTAACAGAAAGGTCAGTAAAGACAGAGTCCTTATCAGCATTCCTGGGAGAGGCAACCCCTGCCATAATTGTGGGGTTGCTAGGTGAGCGAAACATAGTTCGTGAATAAATCTCAGCCAAGCAGAGGGACTGGACCTTCAGGCATCACCAAGAAAGCATTGGGTAGGGAGGAAATTATTTTATAAATGACCAAGAGGAGGAGTAAATCACTGGGTATCAGAGTCCCATTGATGCCATAACCCGACAACTGTTTGGAATGGGAGATAAGAACAGAATAAGAGGCCCACTGCTGAGCAGGAAGCTGTGGTCTTACCTGTGACACCCAGTGTTACCCAAGGTTCTGTCTGCTGATGGTGATCAAGCCAGGAAGCCTTTGCTTCCTCATTCCAAGGACAATGGGCACTGGGCCAGGGTCCTCCCATCCTGGGGACAGTAGTGCCCTGTTTTGTCCTGTTTAGGGCAAGGTGACTTCAGAAGATGTCCTTCTGTCAGCAGAGGTGACACTGTCAAGTAGCTTGTTTTTCTTGAAGGAGGGGCCAGAAGCCTAGGTAATATCTTGTGACCTGTAATGCAACAAGATATTTTGGATGTTTTGTGTCCTCTTGTTCTCATTTAATTTTTTTTTTTCTTGGTGGTGCTGGAGATTGAACTCAGGCCCTCATGCCTGCTAGACATCCTTATTGCCTCTGTCACTGAGCCACATCCTGACCTTCTAATTTAATCTTAGCTTCCTTTCCCCTTTTCTTCCCTATATCCCAGGTATAAAAAAGATTAGCTAACACAGGCATGGTGATTCGCACCTGTAATCCTAGCACTTGGGAAGCTGAGGCAGGAGGATCGCTATGAGTTCAGGGCTAGGCTGGACCACATAGAGAAACCCTGTCTCAAAAATTAACAAAACAAAAAAACAGAACTAGGATTTAGTAGGTCATCAATGGGAGTTTAGCCAATTTAGAGTGATTTACAGGTTTGATTTTACTGGCCTTTATTTTGGGGGCTGGGTTTGAAACAGGGTCTCACTGTGTAGCTCAGCTCAGCCTGGGACAGCTCCAGGCCCTGTAAGGTACCTGTGATGGAGAATATGTGTGTCGTCAGTATAACGGTTGGCCCTTGTAGTTACTTGGGAGCTTTCTGACTCTATGAGTCTGTCCTAAGAGTTTGTACCTATTAACAAGATGTCAGAAAGCTTCTATTGTTTTTAGAATCATCTGAAAAATTACCCAAATTCTGCTTGATTTGCTTCAGGTCTGGCATAGAGAGGTTGTTGGGCTCTAACTGGTCACCCGGCAGCTCCTGAAGTGGGCATGTGTGTGCCAGTGGGGCTAGAGCCATTGCTAGGGACCTGAGAAGGGGGAGCCAGCCCTTTTGTTTGGTTCTGAGAATTAGCATTATCCTCTGGCTAGGAGGTGGCTCAAGAGTTGGATGGTCATCTAAACAACGAGTCCCATTTTACTTAGGAGTGTCATTGCATGGAATCAGACTTGCACTGTGGACAGGAGTCAGGATTACCACATATATACAGCTCACATGTGATACCTCCAACCACTCTCCTGCTTTGTTATGAGAGGTCTAAGTGCAGTGCCATCATAGGATGCATCTGAGATGGCTCAATAGGACACGTCTGCGAGGAAAAGGACACGTGGCTGAGAAAGGGCATCCCCCTTCCATGAAAGGAAAATGAAGTGGTAGGAGGTGCAAAAAGTTGTCTCTCTTTGCCCCTCTACAGATGACACCAGGTGTAACGCGTCTCATCCGGGCCCAGATCTGGGTGGTTGGCAGTCTCCACTGGCCCCCTGTGTTCTTTGATTAAATCACTAGGACATCCCCCATCAGGTGATTGTATTTTGTCAACATGTGCATGGAAGGATGACAGACACTTTTCAACATACAGGCTGATGTATGCCATCTGACATATGCTAAGAGATTATAGCTGTCTTAGGATCTATTAGCACAGGAAACAATATTCTATATATTAAAAAAAAACCAACCCACTCAGAACAGAATGCACATCAAGGAAAAGGCAGCAGAGCTGTTGATAGTGTGCCATCTTCTGATCAAAAGTGGCAGGACAGACAGCAGAAATGGGACAGCTGAGAAAGAGAAGCCGGTACAGAACTCCAAGGAAACTTGGAGGAAAACAAAGTCTACAAACAGCCTGTGATGTCGCCTTGCCTGTGAGGACATCTTCCCTGAAGCGCCAAGGCTCAAATATTTTGAATAATTTTAAACTCATGGGCCACTGTAGCACAGTGCAAACTAAAGGGAAAGAAAGGCTCATAATTTATAAAGAGGCGCGCGCGCGTGTGTGTGTGTGTGTGCGCGTGTGTGTGATATCTCACCACTGGGTGAGTCAGCATCCAAGTCAGGGGGCCTGACACCGTGAGGAGCGGCACCACAGCGCCATTCCTCATGTGTGTGACAAACGGTTTCAGGCAAGGCAGTCATCTGGAGTATAGTAGAAGTTTATTGCAAATGATAGCTTTTCAGAGAGGGAGAGGGAGAGCGAATGAATATGAATAGCGGTGGACAAACACAGGGCAGCTGCCCTGAATGAGATCTCAGGTTGGGTTTCTACGATCAACTGGGTCTTTCAGGAACATCCTCTCCTGCCTTGAGGTCACTGCTCACCTACCTCTGAAGGAAGTGTTCCGCTTACCCCTACAGCTAACGATTAAGAAAGGGAAGAGCAGGGCTGGGGATTTAGCCCAGTGGTCCCGTCGCCTGCCTTGCAAGCGCAAGGACCCGAGTTCGATTCCCGGTACCAAAAAAGAAAAAAAAAAAAGCTCAGTGGTTCTGGCGACTGCCGCGCGAGGTCCCGAGTTCGATCCCCGATACCAAAAAAAAAAAGGGAAGAGTGAGCAGAGTCCTTCGGAAGGGGTGGATCCCAAGCCACTTTGTTTTCTCTTTTGGCCAAATCAGTTCGTTTTGGAGTCATTGGTAGAAATTGTAGGTTCAAACTTTCAATTTCAAAACCGGAGATGTTGAAAGAGAAAGCTGGGTTTACTTGGTTGGGGCTTAAGAGCCAGCTGTCAGCTGACCCAGCACAGAACCTCAGAATTTAAAAGGTCAGGCGCGAGCTTCCCCGATGGCGCGTGCACAGCGGTCATGCGCGGAGGACTACAAGTCCCAGGCTGCCCTGCAGCGCGCGCCGCCCGTCGGGAGCGGCTCCCGTGATGCCCCGCGGCGCACCGGCTCTTGTGAGCCGCAGCTATGCTCATGAAGGGCCGTTTCCCTATCCGCCGCACGCTGCAGTACCTGGGCCAGGGCCCCGTGATGTTCAAGGACTCAGTGAAGGTCATGACAGTGAACTACAACACGTACGGGAAGCTGGGCGAGGGCGCCAGGTAAGTGGGGCCCCGCAAGCGAGCACTGTCGCGGGACTGGAGCCGTCCTGTCTTCTCTCAGGTCCAAGTTTGGAGTCCAGACGTCTCCCCCCCACACCTGGACCCTACGGCGGGGCGGGGCGGGAAGGGGCAGGGCTCGGGAGGAGGCTGCGGGTGGAGGCCGCAGAAACCTCGGAGCTGGGCTTTCGAGCAGTCGGAGGGAAGCGAGAGCCGCTCGTGTTCCTGCCAGAAGGTGGCGTCGGCGTTAGGTTCCCGAGGCTGCGCTTCCCGAGAGGCCTGGTTCGGGGTGGGGCGCACCTGGATGGGCCTTCCCGACCACTGTACATGTGTGCGCCAGTCCTGTGGCTGGAAGGGTGGGGACAGGCTGGCCTGCGCGTGACAGCTGCGTCCTGTCTGCTTGACACTGTGGGCTTGTCAAAGCTGAAAGTTAGATTTACGTATATCTCGGGTTTTTAAAGGGCTAGCCAATCAAAACAGGTCCCATCCTCACATTCTCAAGTGTTTTAATGCCTCCAGGTAAGTAGGATCTCAAGGGTCTCTTTGGTATCCTTGCTCCTGATGATGATATGTGCGTGTCCCATTTGTGCCCTTGGGTTGAGCCGGCCCACTGCCCCAGCTGTCTAGCTTGCCAGCCAGCTCCTGCCTATCTTGTGCCTGCCACAGTTCTGCTGCCCCGATTGACATTTTCGTGCATTCCAAATCCGGGGACAGTGCTGTGGCCCGGGGCTTCTGGGTGGCCAGGAGCTGCCTACTGATGGCAGAGGGCTCTGTCCCTCTCTGTGCGTGCACTGCCTCAGCACAGCCTTGGGATGCAGGTGGATTTGGGAACGCGATGGTAACAGGTCAGTGTGGCAGAAGCTGGGTCGTCACAGTCGTGTGACCTGGGGCAGTTCCCTTATCTCCTGGCCCTCTGTTGAGTGGAGAATACGGTGCTGCAATGTCCGGCAGGGCACCTTCTCTTCCCTTTCATCCCACACTCCAGCATGAACATCTGAGATCCTTGCTATGTGTTTGTCTCAGGTGGATCCGGCTGTGTCCTGGTTTCTTTGTGTGGCTCAGTTGCTGGAAAGTGGTGGCCACAGCAGTGCTTTGCTAGTGACATGTGTGACTCTGTGTCGTGAGAATTAGCCCTTTGTTTTGCAAACACTTTTGGTTTGGGGATCGAACTCAAGACCTTGTGCTTGTGAGGCAGGCACTGGAACCACTGAACTAAATCCCTGGCGTTGAATTTGGTTTTGGTAACCTTTGCCATGCAGAGATCTTATGGAGCCACTGTTCTGTCCTGGGTGTGGGTTTAAGGGTTTTCTCAACAGCGGGACTGTAAAACACTCTCGAGTTATTTTCGTGGCAGTGCTCACCAGTGGTTGACGTGGTGGTCACCTCTCCAGTTTCATTTTCCCTTCCTATTTTGCCCTGTTGAGTTTCCCCACTCTGGTGCCAGTGTCCCTCCTTCCTCCAGCTTTGTTCTTCCAGCTTTTGGGGTTGGAGAGTCTCACGGGTTCCCTTCCTTGTGTTGGCAGGAAGTTTGTGTTTTTCAACATCCCCCAGATCCAGTACAAGAACCCCTGGGTGCAGATCATAATGTTCAAGAACATGACCCCGTCTCCCTTCCTGCGCTTCTACCTGGGTGAGTGAGGGGCTGTGTGGCTGCTGCGCCTGAGGACTGTCACCTGGGGACCATCACCTGGGGATGGCCTTGGACACTGGAGGTGGAAGATGCGCCTGGGGAACCCCCCTTCCTCCCATCCGCCTCCCTTCAGCTGGCTGGTGTTATTTCCACTGGTGCCACCCTGGGGGCACAGCCCCTTGGGGAGGGGGAGGGTCCTATTGGGTTGTTTTTTGCAAAGGCTTCTTTTCCTCTTTGTTGTTTTGAGATCCACCTGTGTGAAGTTGTCAGTACCTTGTTTTGTATTTGTTGGTGTTGGGGATTGAATCCAGGGCCTTGTGCATCCTGAGCAAATTCTGTCAGCAGGCCCCACACAGGTCAGTGGATCCATTTGCTTTTTTTTCTTTATTAGTACATGTTCACAGTACACAGTGATTACATTCATCCCGGGGACTCAATTGTTTGCTTTTTGAGCCAGTCTTACTGTGTTGCCTAGGCTGGCTCTGAACTCCAGGGCTCCAACAATCGTTCTGCCTCAGCCTCCCATGTAGCTGGGACCATAGGCAACAGCTAGTGTGCTTGGCTTCAGTTTATCCATGTTTATTGCTGAGTAGTATTCCATTTGAGGAATACCACAGTCTAGCCAGCTGTTGCTGAGCCCAGGACCTTAGGTTTATGCCAAGACAGAGTGAGCTTGGCTGGAGATGAGGCCTCACAGAGCAAGGGCTGGGGAGGAGGGCACAGGGACAGCACAGGCCCTAACCTAGGAAGGAGTCACAGATGGCAGGGCAGCCCTGAGGGCCCCAGGCAGCATGTGGGGATGGTGTAACTAGGCGCAGGTGGGAGTGGTCTGGGAGGGCATAGGCTGCCAGGGCACCTGTGAGCTCTGTGGGACCTCTGCATGGTGCTCGGTCTGAGTGACTGGGAAGGAAGCAAGTTGGTTCCTCACAGTTCTGGAGATGCGGAGATGGGGTTGGGGAATCTGGGGGTGTGGGCCCCTACCTGGGGAGGGTGGCACACA